CAGTGTTTATGAAGAAGAAAATGAAAGGTTAACAGAAAGTCTGCGTACAAAAGTCAGTGCCATTAAATCAGTAAGTATTTAACTATAGTGGTATCGTCACATTTATTGAGTTAAATTATGTGGACCAGTGAAGCAGTAGACTTAGTTTAAAACATAGATTTAACACAAGAAAGAATTATTGTCAACCAAAATGCATAATCATTCATTTGTATAACTGATTCTTCCTTTAATTAGTTTTTTAGCTAGACGTGTCCTTCTTTGCCAATCTTGAGGACAGCTGTGGTGTTACTTATGGCTTATTGTCCTACAGAATGAATTATTGTCCCTGCAGAAACAAGAAAATTTGAGTTTAGGTCAGTAAACTGGCTCAGGTTCATTTAAGAAAAGGGACTACTTGCTTTTGGTGTTACCATTGTGGCTCATCAGCTTCTGCTGTATCTGCTGATAAATCCATAATGTGAAAACAGCTGTTAGAAATAGCATGCTAATATACTCTGAAAGAGAAATGATTCTGATTCCTTCCAGAGATTGAGGACTTCTTTCAATCAAGTCTAACGGAAAGACAGCTCTGATTAAAATTGTGTGTGGTTTTTTTTTTTTCTTAACAATTTAAGACTTTTTGAAGTACATTATTAGCAATAGGTGCTGTTTCTATGTATGTCATACAAGCCAATGAATTCTTAGCCCTAAACTCATTCAAATTCCTATTGCTAATAATATTGTGTTGCTTAAAAGTAATTTGTTTAGTCTCAAATAGAAAATAAAACCTTAGGTTTAAGTTAAGAAATTATCCACCTAAATAATCTAGAGTAAGTTAAAGAGGTAAAAAGAAAAGCTTTGACCTTTGTTACAGAATTCCATTTCTTGTCTCCTTCTCTGGGATGTTATATTTCAAATCAGTGTCCCAGGGTATGTCTGCAGTGTGGTTGATAGTGCCCCATGGAGTAGCATGTGTGCTTTTTCTGCAGTTGCATCTTTTAGTGCAATGTAATGACCCTGGAGTATGGAATAATCTTCAGATAATCTTCCTAGAAGCCTCGTGTTTCACTCTTGACTTGATGATAGATTGTGGTGAAACGCAGCAGTAAGAAATAATGAGATTTAGGTTGTGTCACAAAAAACATACGGGTTTTGGCTAATCCAAAGCATCGGGGCCGGGAGCACGTTTCTCTCCCGTCTAGGAGCTGAGCTGGTTGTTCAAGGCCAGTGTGCTGATTACAACCGTTACGGAGGAAGAGCTGCTAAGAAGCCTCAGTGCGGGTTCTCCCCTGTTTCACTTGGGAGCTGCTTTTAAGCCAAGATTCTCCTGGCTAGCCTCTGCCTTTGCTACGTTGCAGCTGTGTTGCAGCTCTGTGCCTGGTCTCATACCTCCCTGATTCCAAGCCTAACCTGCAGACTTTCTGGCTTGAGCTTGGACCTGTCTCATAGCTGTGGATGTACTGGGTGATCACCAGGCTGTTGCTGACCCTGGTTACCACCTCTGGACTGATTCTCGCTTGCATACTCAACTTGCGTCCTTGTCCTGCTGCGCCCTTCCTGTTTCATGACACAAAGCAGAGAAGGCATGGACAAGTTCACAAAAGAAATTCCCATTTATAGCATAGCAGCAACTTGTCAAAAGAGATGCGTTAGCAGGTTACAGTGTCAGCTCCAGCAACACTGAGTCAAAAAGAGTGCTCATGGTCCTCTGTGCTGCGTGCCAGTAGTTTTAATGGTTGTTCCAGGAAATGGATAATTGCTACTTAGACTTGACTAGATCTTGAATTTTTGGAAGTCCACGCAATAATTCTAATAAGGAATTCTCTATTCAAGGAGAAAAGGGGAGGAGGAGCATTGAGTACCTTCTGTGACTCTCTAGTCTCATCTAGTCAAATGACAAATAATTTACTTTCCTAACGGTTATTGACAGAATACTGTGCATGTTATTTTGTTTTCTGAAAATACCAGGTACTGTCTTCACATTTTACCTGGGGAAATGCTAGTCATGTCACATATTTTAGACTGGTTTCTCTAATTGATGTATAACTGATTACTCATATTTAATACTTTTTGGTTGTGGTTTTTTTTTAACAGCTTTCCATTGAAATCGGAACAGAAGTTAAAAACCAAAATAAAATGTTATCAGAAATGGTAAGTGTTTAGACACTAACCTTCCTTAAATATTGGGCAGGATTAAGAAGTTAGTAATGTAAAGCATGCCTTCTTTTAGTATGAACATTTGTATTAAAATGTTGACAGCTTATTGTTGACTGTAAAATGTGACTAATTCAGCAGCTATATCTCTGTTCAAAAAGATAGATGTGCGAATGCATGACTTCCAAAGCACAACCAAGGTCTTTATACTTCAGATACAACTATTTGTTTTCAATTAGCAAATGTATGGTATTGTTAAAAAGGCAGTTTTATATTTAAATTTATTTAAGAATAGAAGAGGGAAGCAAAAAATAAGGAAGTCAGTAATTCCTTTTTTGCTTGCATCCATCTGGATAAATGGGCGAAAGTTTTTCCTGGTTAATTTTCAGAAACTGCCTCCGAAATAATTTTAGTTTTGGAAAACTGGAAAAAAAAAACAGGAAAAACTACACTTAGCAAGCTTTAGGGGTAATCTTTTTTCTCAGAGTAACATGTTTTTTGTTGTTTTGTTTGTTTGTTTTAAATGTAGGATAATGATTTTGACTCTACGGGTGGAATTCTAGGTGCAACGATGGGCAGACTGAGAACACTCTCCAGGGGAAGCCAGACAAAGCTATTATGCTACATGATGCTCTTTGCATTGTTTGTTTTTTTTGTAATATACTGGATTATTAAACTGAGGTGATATATGTTACCTTTGGTTTAAATTGTGTAATTTCAACTATCAAGCAGTCTTAATTAATGAAGACATTGATCTGAAGTGGCATATTCTGTTGATAAAACACAGTGAAATTGTTGTAAATTGCATTAACTATTAATGCAATGTTATATATAGCTTTCTTAAGGTATCAGAATTTTTCCCATCATCCCCTGTTTTGGGGGGATTATTTGTAAATATGCAGAAACTGCTAGCATAGCAGGTTGCTTTTTTAGGGGAATATAGTTTTTAGAATTGATTTAAAAAAATACAGCAAACAATGGTTGTTCAGATATGAAGTAATTGCAGAATTACAAGGCTTTCTCTTTCATTCTGCATTTCATTCTGGGCTATGCTCTAAATTAGAGCTCCAGTTTCAGGCATACAGTAATTTCTAGGTTGCAAAAGCACAAAGAATACTTGGATTTTTCTAAATTGGTTTTATCTGTGGATTTTTAAAAGGCTGGCCTGAAGCTAACAAATGTAATAGTGGTACCCCCAAAAATTATTCTTGTGGATAGGTCTGATAGTGTATGTGTTTAAGTAGCTTAAACTGTGTATTTTGGAGAGAAGTTACTTAAAACTGGATTATTTTTGTTTAAATGTGACAAATCATGCTTACACATCTACTCTTTTAAGCAAATGCCTTTGATCATTGGGATCAACCAACATGGACACAGTACAAATGTTTTCTTTATATTTAAAGTATCTCAAAACTTAATGATTCCATTGAATCACTAGAATTTTTACCATTAGTATGTTTACTTTTCAATCTGTGATGATCCCTAAATCTATACTGCATGATGTCTGAAATATGAGGACAGATATTTTGAATTTTATATTAAAGTATATTATGATGCACCTGTTGGAGGTGCTGTCATATTAAGGTTTTTTATTTTGAAGGCTTAGCTTTGGCTCACCAAGTAGTTTCTAATAGTTGAAGCTATTACATTGCTGAGTTTAACATTAAAAAAATTAAGTTTCCTAGATATTGAAATTGTATCTACAATTTTTGAAAAACTTTTCTAGAAATACTGTCTAGCATGTTGCCATTAATAACTAATTACAAGCTGACAAATAAAGTGTTCTGTAGTATTCTAGCTAGTGTTGTTTATATACATTCTTTTCTACTGTAGAATACCAGCGTATTTTTTGGAAATGGTGCTGCATTCAAGGGGCTATATTTGTGTGGGCAGCACTATTAAAATAAGAAATGGAGGTGTATGCTACATTACTTTCATGTTAGATTTCATATATAATGGAAGTGTGATGTGTAAATCACTCCTCTAATACAAAACACACAAACTGTGCAAAAGTAATTAAAGCTTAAGTATTTCTAGCCTATTTAATCTTTGACTGTTAAAAGGTCTACAATACTTCTACAAATAACAGAACACCTAAGTGCTAACACCAGGATATTGCATCATCTTTATATGAGAATTGCTAGGCTTGTTAAACAAGTATAGCATTCCCAAAGCTAGTCAATAGCATATAGTTTGCCATCCAAAATTGACGCTCTTGTATAATTTTAATGAGACAGTGGAGTGCAAGGTACCTCACAAGTGAGGTAATTACTGACACACCTGTTTGACAACCACACTCCCCTGATAGTTGATCATCTTCTAGAATATATCTCTGGCTCTTAAAACATGGTGTCTAACAATTTCTAGACATTTTTTTAGCAATCAATCTGTCATACCAATAAATGGAAAAAGTTTTAGCTACCTAATATGAAGTAGAAAAATGGGTGGATGCAGCTAGTTACATGGTGGATACATTTCCTGTCTTTGTTCTGAAAAATACGCTAGCGTGTCCCTTAAGTCTCTACAGAGCACATACTGGCAAAAGATTTTTCACCAGTCCTTCAGCTCATGTATAAAACCAACAGGATTTTCTTTTTAAATGTCAAATCAGATTAAAAGGTAATTAATGCAGAATAGGAACTAGGTGGTGGTCTTTCCCTCCCCTCCCCCTGCCTCCCGTTCTTTAGTGGTGCAGAGGAGTGAGGAAAAATGAATTGGGGGTGTGTGGAATCTTAAGCCTATGTCTTCCTTTCTGTGTTTCTTCATTTAAGGAGGGTTGTCAGGTTTTTTGTAGTTGTCTAGATAGAGCAGGAAATAGGGCGAAAGCTTAAGCGCAAGGAATATATGAAGCCTCCAAACAACTTTCTACATCTCTAGGTTTATTAGAAAACACACAAGGGCTATTTTAATTAAGTGCTAAAACACAACTCCGTTAGGCTCATTTAACGTGAGCTTTCTGAACTGAAAGGTAACTGAAAGCTACATAGTCAAAACTGGGACATATTTCTGTATGTTTTTGTTATTTTAATTTTGGAGCAAGTACAGGATGTAGGACATTTCCCTTTCTTCACTTCCAGTAAAAGGTTGATTTTCAGTTTAAAACCTGAACTGAAATCCTGCAAGTTTGCTTAGAACAGTTATAGTGACTTATGTAAAGGTGAAACTGCTTTGAGAATATTTCACTTGGGAAGGGGAATGGCAATTGGTGGGAACCATGCACTGTAGCCTTAGAATTTTCCTCGGCATCTGTACTTGCTTTACTGCTTATTTTCTGGTAGAAAAGTATTACTCTGACAGTCCTTAAGATTCACAAATAGCAAGATTTCAGGATGCTGTAGTATGATCTTGTAGAGTAAAATACACAGTCAATAGGATAGAAAAATACTAGTAGCATTTAATTGTACTTTTACAAAGTTGCAGTTAATAGCAGCTGCATGGGAATACTGCAGTTATGTTTATTCTTGGTTTTGAAATCTTGTATGTAATTTTTACACAATATTTATATATTGCATTTCTCAGTGTAACTTGGACTCTACCTGGCAATGATACAGATTATTTCCAGGTGGAAGAAACTATAATCTTTTAACTATCAAACTGCTAACCTTACAGTATCATAGAGATTCCTTAGAAAATGCTTAACGCATCCACTTGGTTAGAAGGAAAATTCCACTGAAGATTTTGTTTGCAATAAGGCAGGTTGTGTCTTCTGACTTAAATGGCTGCTTTAGGAAGAGTTGCTGATGTTGGTTTTGAAGGAATGGCTGATACGCAAGTAAACGTAAAAAATAAGATTTAAAGAAGATCAAATTAAGAATTTATGCTTAGCATAGCAGATGTATATTTCAGTGAGACTTTTTGTGTAACAAATCACAGTAATTTTGAAAATACTTAGTATACATTTCGGCTTTAAGGTGACTGTGGCATATAACATAAATTGTACCCTCTCATTTAAGTAATAACACACAATTTTCATATTAACATGGTTTTTTAAAATATTTTTCTTTAATAATTACACACACAAAACATGATACCTCAGTTCAGGCCTCCAAAAGCTTCAGATATGATTAAACAGTTGTTCGTAGAATTCTACAAATAAAAATCAACCCCACTCCCAGCAGCAAACATCCATGACAGTGTAGTACAAGTCGACGTGAACTTGGCAAAGATGACAGAGCTCATTTTGATGATACTTGCTAAAACTGAAAGATAGAGCAAGTACCTGTAATTGAGAGCAAAATCACTGTTCCAGTATTTGAATAAAGCAGGGAATAATTTGTGCCATAATTACTGATCTTGAAAGCAAAGTTACACTGAAATTACATTAGGCTACTAGTGAAATCACAGCTGTATCCATATGGAAGTTAAGTTTCTTAATTGGTGGCTTAGATGCTCTAAAATGTAGATATACCTCGATTAAAGAAGACATTTTCCCTGGGTGCTTAGTGTGGATTGCTAGACCCCCCCAAAAAAGTAACCCATAGAGAAAGGAAAAAAATTTGCAGGAGGCCACATGCTTTCAGACTGCTTCGTATCAACAGAAATTTGATATTGGAGAACACGTAGAACGGTAATGGACAAAGACCCTGATAAGCGGTTCATTGGCAAAATTACTGTTACGTTTTCTACTTATTTTACCCTTAAAACACGTACTGGCTGTTACCTTCAGTGTGCAGTACAAGCCGTGCTCTTGCTTGCTTAATTTCCAAGGAAGGGTGGCGATGTGTCACTTGCTTGGAAGTGTTTCCATGTATTTGCATATGATGGAAAGCATGGTTTCATCTGTGCCACCTCCTATTGACAGTAATCGCAAGTCTCTGTAGAAATAGAAAGAGTAGATTTAAACATTTGCATGCTATACTGATGGAACAAGTACAGAACTGTACATACCCATTTATTCTATGCATTTATTATGAAGCTGCTTTTATGACATTGAAACCCCCTTGTTTACAGAAGTACATACATGGTGTGGACAACTGTGTTGTCAGCACTGTAAATACCCTTTTGTGTACAGGGATGTTGCCAATTCAAAATCAAAAGGCTTAAGATATAATTTGGCTCATCCAGTTTTCAGATTCTTTCAAAAATAACCTTAACTTGGCATAACACTGTATTTTCATCTGGAAATAAGCTAAAGCCTCTCCTACCATACAGCTGCCCCTGCTTAAGCCCAGCCAGACCTCCTGCCGCTGAACTCCATACAGACTTCTGTTTAGGTCTTACCACTTTGGACTGGCATATAAAGCATCGCAGGCTCTTCCCAGGGTCTTCTGCTGGACTGCCTACTCAAATTAGCTACACGTTACATACTAATGCCAGTTGTCCACCGAACACCTCATCCTCCTGGTGAGACGGTCTGCAATACTTCCTGCAACATCCCCGCTGTTCCTTTGCCAAAGCTGTAGGTGCCTAAGCCTGCAGCTGAATTTTAGGAGGGGAGGGAGCTTTTGGAGGGCCAGTAGCAAAAAGTGTTGCAGGACTTACTTAACTTTGCTTAACTGTGCGGTAAAGAGAGTATTAGTCAATCAGTACCTGAGCGTCGT